TACTCATGTGAAACCCAACTTCTTTATTTTACTAATGACATAGGATCGGCTTTAGATCGCGGCTCACTTGTGCATTGCATTTTTCTTGACTTTCAAAAAGCTTTCGATAAAGTACCTCACCAATTACTCCTCCTGAAAATTAGTGCCTTAAACATTGACCCGAACATTCTTAAATGGATTGAATGCTTTCTGACTAATCGCACTCAGTTTGTAACAACTAATGGCTATAACTCACCTCTTTCTAAAGTAACATCCGGCGTACCCCAAGGTTCCGTATTAGGCCCTTTGCTCTTTCTTATATATATTAATGATCTCCCAGACAGCATTAACTCCACTATAAGGTTATTTGCAGATGATTGTGTAATTTACCGCGAAATAAACAATGAATATGATAACCAATTTCTACAGTCAGACCTTGACACTGTCTCAACCTGGTGCAATAAATGGCTTATGACTCTCAACTCTAACAAATCTAAATGCATGTCAATAACCCGGCGATCTATTTCTCCCCCCTGTACCTACAGAATTAACGCCGTTCCCCTCCAGCATGTCTCTTCATATAAGTACCTCGGCGTTTACATTACCAACAATCTATCTTGGCACACGCATGTTACCTACATCTGTAATAACGCTAACCGAACGCTAGGATACTTACGCCGCAACTTTTCTCGCGCTCCGCTGTCCCTCAAAATTCTATTATACCGATCACTAATTCGCCCAAAGCTTGAGTACGCGTCCGCTATATGGGATCCCGTGCAGCAAAATTTAATTAACGCGTTAGAATCTGTTCAGAACCGCTCAGTTCGGTTCATTTGTTCTAATTATTCCCGTACTGCTAGCATATCAGAAATGAAATCTAACCTTGACCTACCCAATTTAACTGTCCGGAGAAAACTGGCGCGACTGCATTTTTTTCATAAGATATTTTTTCACAATCCATCAATGAAGCGAGACCTCATTTCACAACCGTCATACCACTCATCGCGCATTGATCATCAGCATAAGGTTGCCATTCCGTTTTGCCGCACCAAATTCTTTTCAGCAGCCTTCTTACCGAAAACAGCCGCCGATTGGAACCACCTTCCCTCTTCCGTGGTATCAATAACAGACCCTTTGTTATTCAAGACTGCAATTTCTCAGCAATGCTTGTAACTATACGCAGTTTCCACTATCTATCTTTGTCTTGTATGTGCTTGAATTCTTATACATTTTTAGTTGACTTATGTTGCCTTCCTGATTTGCGCATCTGATACTTGTTTCTTTATTTTGTCTTTTTTTCTTGTGTGTTATATATGTTGTACCCACCCCCTCTGTAATGCCCTACGGGCCCTGAGGGTATTCTAATAAATAAATAAATAAATAAATAAATAAAACCTGCTTACAAGGAACTTCCATATAACGAATTCCGTGATATAATTAAGCCTTTCTATTCTCCGCCGTTACTCATTAGAAGCACATGTATTTGCGACCTCTGTTTAACAAAGTAACAGCGAGAGACATCCTTGATATAACGAATTTTCGCCACGGACAATCCTGAAATTTCGCCACGGATTTCGTCATTTTGGCACGAGCATGCACAAATAAATAAATAAATGTTTATTCATTGACACACTCACTGAGCTCTAGGCCCCGGCGAGTCGCAGGCGAGAGAGAGCGCTCGCTAATGCGCGTGAACAACATCGTAAACCATACCAAAATCTTTTTTTTTTTCCTTTTCTCCGGTTTGCCTGGGGGTGGAGTCCGCTTTTCCTGCACATCCTTCCCCCTCAAAATTTCACTTGGCTCTGCCCTGTTCATTTTTCTTTTCTGATTGGAATTGCCTGCTATATGTTAATGGTGCGGGCGGAGCATTTGAATTTTTATATACATCACAATAAAAAAATGTTTCAATAGATGCCGTCATGTCCAGGAAGTTAGAGGTGGGCATGCGGGCCTGCGCCCTACGAGCCAGTGTTTCCGCTGCGGGCGCATGAGCCGATGTGCTCTCCACCTCCCTCAAAACCAGCCTAAGCGCTCATTGAAACTCTCCGGGACCACGGTGACAACGAAGGATCTTCGGAGGTCTACTCGCACGCGCTTCACCGTCTTGCACCACGCCGCGGTTTCACGGGCCCGTAGCATTCGTCATTGGCCGAGTAGCTCCTACAAAACGCTGATGTAAGCAAATACGGCCGCTCCAGGGAGAAGTACATGCTATATTCGCACATTTTCTTCGCGTTGAAAGCGGGCTGATGTTTGCCAAGATAGCACGCGTGCCAACGATTGCGACCGCGCACTTCACCTAAAGCTTCACCATTGATACTAGGGCGACCCCCCCCCCCCCCCCCCCCGCGTTTTTAATGCTTGCTAAAGACGGGTGGGTTTCTTAAATTTATATTTTAGCATTCGACGTATAGGAGGTTGCACAGGGGCGTGTCCCACGAGATGGCGCTAGCGTCGAAAAAGCAGCGTATCCATCTTTGTGGTAGAGAGTACTCCATTGTGTACTAGAAGTGTTTGTGGCACGGAGGAAGGAAAGGTGGTTTGTGGCTTTCCTCCGTGGTTTGTGGTTTCTCTCCCGGCCGCCGCCGGCAAGCAGTCGTAGGTGGTGTACACTCACGGGTGCGCGTCCGTGCGAGATTCATGTGGTCATAATAGTGAACTGTGCCATATTTGGTAGCTACAAACACTCGAGTAAGAAGTGTGGTCATGAAAATGCTGCTGATGTCGTTTTTTTTTCTATACCTAAAGTGATTGTAAACCAATCGAAAAGGTTTGGATGGCTCAGCCTCACACTATACCACGTGTGCGTTAAACATTTCATTTCCGGTACTACTTTAATGAATAACACTACTTTAATGAATGCCCAAACACGCAACACATTGTGACCCATTTACGTGTGCACAACAGTGACACAACACTACCCGCGCATTATTATGGGCTATTGACTAATAAACTATCTCGCGCGTACCTACTTCAGTTAGTGATCATGCGCAACTATGTTTCTATGACATCCACATGACACGCATTAGCTACCAACACTTTATCAGGACGTCGCTTCACACTCCGAATCACCTCCCTATCATAAGTTTTGCGTGAATGCTCTCGATTATAGTCGCAGTTATGCCAACAAACGATAGCACCACTGCTTCATTTTCCCTAGGTACACGAACCACAGCATCCGCAACGCTTGCGCAAGTACCTAACCCTGCCTCCCCTCCTTTTTTTTAAATCTTTTTTTTTTAAGTTTGTTACTATTGGAAATGGCGCCTTGTCTAAGTTCGCAGCGGCAAACAGGCTGCCCAAGGTTTCCTGTAGCATCGCTGGTTGGAACGACGTGCCTGGCTACACGGCTCCTGGTGAAGAAATAGGCTTCGACATCACAGAGGCCGCTGCTACCATCCTTGTCAACGTTTACCCACTTTCAAGACCACTGGCCCGCATCCCACTTCGTCGTTTTGTTTGGACTTTCCGCATTCAACGACAACCCATTTAAAATAAACATGCAGAAACACACACACACACACACACACACACACACACACACACACACACACACACACACACACACACACACACGCACGCACACACACAGACACGAACCCCAAAAACTCAAGTTAGGGAAATACACTGCTGCTGCATGTCGACCTGGTCATTCCTGAGAAGCTAACTAGCTTCTTTATTGCACTTTCACACCGCACTCACTAGGTCTACCCATGTCAATTTTTTAAAACTAATTGGCTTTTCAAAAAAAAAAAAAGAACTTGGGAAATTTCCCCTCTTCAGTTATGTTAGATTGGCTTGAGCCCGTTATACCTCCTGGTGGTACTGGCTACCCCCCCTTTTTTCCTTTCAGTTTTTTACAAATATAGGGGGGATGTATCGTATGCGTAGAGATGGGCCGGCTCATTCGATCTCTGCTTCAGCAGCGCTCCTGCGAATCAACCTCTAAAAGTTACGACGCGCGGGGGCATGTTCTCTATTTGGACTTGTCACGGAACATGGCGGCGACGGCAAAAGCCCGCCGAGAGCGCCAAAGAATTGCTATTGCAATAATAACGCAGTTTTTTTACCGCTAAATAATTGTTTTGGTTATCTCTGCCTTCAGTTACCTTTTTGTTAAATTGGTACGTAAATTTTCGAATTTTTCAGGGAATGAGTTAATTTCGTTTTTCCAGGTTTAACTCTAGTCCCAAATCTGGTTTGATACCCTAAGGACATCTTGCAGTCTCACGGAAGGACAATGTTTCATGCACAACCCCCACTGCAGTTGCCGATTCGTCACGGATAAAACCCCAATTCCTACGCATTACAGAGGCCCTGCAACAATATTTAAGTAAAGAGAACGCTGCAGACCGGTACTCCAGGCTCCGGAGCTGCCTCGAATTGACAGTTTTCAAAGTCGGCTAGAAATGGCTTCGAATTTTCGAATTGTCATACAGCCAAATGAGCACGCCATATACCAATATTTTGTGCCATTGGCCGATTTGAGCACTGCGAAATGCACTCGCAATGCCCAAGGTCGCCGAGAAATATCACCACGTGCTCGCACTCACACTGTAAGTAATGAGCACATTCGAAAAAAAAACGAACAATAAAAGCGCTGAAGGTCATGACCTGCACGTGACATCTTCCCCCTGTGCCATCCCTCCTTGCCCAGCTTCCAGTGTACACGTGAGGACGAAAGAAAGAAAGCAATTACAGCGTACTGTTAATGGAACTTCGCACCTAGGAGACCAACTCTAAAAGACTTTTGTGGCCATCAATTAGTCAGGCGCTAAACCAATAATCTTGAATCCTTTAACAAAGCAATTTGATGGCTTCTAGAAAAATTTAAGGCCCTTCTATATATGATGAAATTTTGACTACATAACAGAAAAAATACTTTAATCCCATCACACCATTGGTTTGTGGAATTAAAAGGCAACCTTTCCAATGTGCGATGGAACGGAATCATGATAAGCCCCACTTTAGTCCACCATTTTTTATTTATCGACATTTTTTTTTCTGAAAACAATGTGTTGCACTAGCACAGAAAAAAAAAAGAACAAAACAAGGCTTGAAAGCATCAATGTCACCACACAAGAGTGAACGAAGTACAACAAACAGCCTTACACCAGCCACATGCCCATAGAAAGCAAACAGTGAAATGCTTGCAAACAAGCCTACATCCACAAAGGTTCCTTCTCAAACAGAGAGGTAAACCTGTTAAACAGACAACAGTGGCAGAGAAAAAAAATAGAAGACATGCTCACGACAAGACTGTACTACCTAATATAGGTTGTACAAAAATGCTTTTCCAGCCAATGCTTCTCTCACTATATCAACATACAAAAAAAATAAGTGCCCACTAATTCCTTACTGTGCTGCTAAAGGTTTTGCATTTCACAACATTCGATGAAGCTCTGTGCAGGATCTGCTGACAGCACTTACCATAGTAGCATAGATGCATTAACGTAAAGTGAAATGCGGGAGAATGTAGGCAGGAAAAGCAGCATAGGTGAAGGCAACCCGTCACAGCGCTTCTAAACAAAAACTGCGCTGAAATCTTCTTGCCATGACCAACTACGCTGAATGGACCTGGAAAAAGAGCCTCTGAACCACTGAAGTGTCTTGTGACACAAGTGGCTTTCATTTCTAACGCATTGTTGCATAATCGCAGCCTCTGCTTTTCCCATCCACATCACCTGGTGTAGCAGCATGAGCGTGTGCAAGTACACCGAAGCAATGATAAAACAATTCACAAAGCTGTTTCAACCGTGGCCCTTTCAAGGTGGGTTTAAGGCCAACACATGCCTCAGTGAATTACCGCAACACTTGCCTATGATTCATGCGCTACAAATGTACCAACCACTCGGCTTGTTGTACAAATGCTTTCTAAAATAGGCTGAGATGGCGGTACCAAAGCCACTGATCAAACAGTCCACACATGCATGCACAATGTGCCCTCACAGAGCATTTAAAGAGACAATGCTGGTGCATTTGCACTATCTGATACCAAAACTATCTCGAAGAGCCAGGCGACTTGGAGCCCAATGCAGAAGGGCCTTACATATGCCAAGTGGCTTTATTTCATTCATGCTAGCACTTTATTTAAGAGAACAGAGTGGCATGAACATACATACTTTGAAGATTCAGCGACTCTTCTAAACAAAAAAAAAAAGCAGCACAGTCTGAAAAAAAAAAGTGACAAAGACAACAGTGAACAGTCAATTGTAGTGTTCTCAGAGTTCACCACCATGACTTCTACTTCTGTACAAATACTCTCGATGAAACGAAGTCGTGCAGGCACAAATTAGAGCAATGACTAGATGCCAGCATCCCTTTCAGTACACCAGTACAAACGCAAAGGCACCCGGAACTAAACTCTTCGAACACTTCAGACGGGGAACTTAGATGCAATGTGCAAACAGGTACTGTGCTTCTATGACACTGCATCACACGTTGCCTTAATGAAGCCTAACGAAGCTCCAGCCTTTTTTTATAAAATTCTGAACATCTCAGAAGCCATGAAAATATGGTAAGCTACCTAACAGGCCTTTTGCATCAGGATGTTCTGTAACAAACTGCATGAAAAAGCTACAACTCAAACTGGCACGGAAAAAAAACAACAACATATAATTGTGTCGTGCATGCGAAATCACTCATAGCACGACGATTTCCAATTTATCAATGAGGCAGTGCCACGAAGGTAAAAAGGCAAATTACAATGATCCATGCATACACACACAACTGTAACTCCCAACCCCTGCAACCACGAACATTTAAACGGATTGGAAGCAAGGTCTCACCCAAGAGAGAGAAAAAAAAAGATGCGTTTCTTTTTCGTATCAAGGACAAGTCACTGTGATGCGCAGAGCAAATGCGCCAGGGACGTGGCATCCATAAAAAAAGGGAGTGAAGAATCAACCACTTTGCAAGAGAGTTCTTTTGATGCACACAAAAGGAAGGTGGTTGCAGGTCAGGCACGTTGAACCACCAGAAGCTGTCTATGTAATCCTGTCCTTCCTAAAAGGCCAAGCGTGGGGAAAGGAGTCCAGGGAATCCGCAACACTGCGGGAAGTGGGAGATGTTTTGCCACGGGTCACGACTTGCAAACATGCTCGTCTATGGTCTATGTCCCGGATTTCGTCAGCCTACTTGTCCTGCACAGCCAACGTTTGCTTCCCACTCACTAAAGCTGGATAATGACGTATCACTTGGGTGCTTTATTTATCTTCATAGACGTGCTGTAAAAAATAGATTCAGAGAGCATGAAAAAAGATGACCCCAAGGCAGATATAAACAAGCATAATGAACATCTGCTTAAAATTTAAATTGATGACTTCTAGTGACAATGAAAGCTGGTGACTTTTTTCCAGACATGCATGCATTGCAAGACCAGTGTCTACATTCTAGATACGCTTTACATCACTGCACGTGAAGCCAGATTATGTATTTCAAATTGTCATACATAGCTGGCTGTTCCTCGCACAATCGCTTAGTTTCGGAGGTCTCAAATACACCGATTTCAGGAATGCACCCTTTATAAACTGGAGCAGTACACGCAGCTAGCTAACAAACTCTTACTCAGAGTGAACTCACCTTTTTCGCTACTCGAATTCATTTTGACGATATGAATTTTGGGTGAAATCAATATTTTATGCTACGCGACGAAATTTGTGTCACTGAGGATAACAAGAGAGTTGACCTACTCGGTGAGTAGTCTCTCTGCTTGTTATGCAACATCAGTAACAGTGACAATGCACAATGAACATTGCACGGCAACCACTGTAATGCCATGTCAAACATTTGTTAAGCAAGTGCACATGCCTCTGTACCCTACAGCAAAGGTGAAATAGAGAGCCAATATGCATACCTTCTTTAGCTGCCAAGGAGCTCTTGTTAGGACGTGTGTTCAACTTCGGTGACAGTGATACCACTTTGCTCTAGGTGGGCCTTCAGAAGCTGATTGGTGGCCCTGAGCTGTTCACACTGTTGTCGCAGCAAATCCAAATCCAAAGCCAGCCGCTCGTTCTCCTTCAGTACCTCGGGCAGTCGTGCACAGCTTGCACGCAATTCCTGAATGTAGTCACAGGCCTTTGCCAGGATACCGCCCTTGCTGTGAAGGTGTACGGACGATGGCTGCGTTGAAAAAGAAGAACTTCGATTGTATGGGAATACTTGCAACCACTGTGTTTGATTCTGCTCCATAGCAAATGCCGGCCCTTTTTTAAAGAGGCACTAAAGGCAAATAGCACTTTGTGTCAGAGTGAAAGCTCAAACTATGACGTTTAAGGGGAGATGCTACTCGAAAAACGATTTTCTTTAATAAGAGTCTGAATTTAACACAAATTGGCATGCTAATAGAGTTTTTTCTCCTCTTTTCAAATATGTCATTTATTTTCATGTAGATTGCTTGGTTTTCTTTCTGCAGGTCAGATACTGCAAAATTATGGCCATTGTTATGCAACAATTCTGACCTATAAAAATTTGAGATGCAGATATAGCTGACTATGATCCTTTGGAACTGTAGAGTGCAAAAAACTGTATAATTTTTGTGTGTAAAAAGGTGAAATACAATAATAAAATAGAAAAATTTACTATGGCTCTAGTTGCCAAGGGCTTTCAATGTTATGTAATTTTTGAAAAACATAATCAAGCAGCACTGACAATCTGAATAGATACTTGCACTCTATGGGCCTTCATCATGATATGTGCAAAATTTCATAGAGGTATAACAATTCTAAGTATACGAACTAGTGTGTATAAGAAGCACCGATCACACAAAACTGCAAGAGGAGAAAAACGCACTTGAAAGTCTGAAACCTTTTTTTTTTATCACAGAGTTGTTAGAAATGCATAGTTTTTGGCCATAATGTTCAACAGAACTTTGAAAAGCACTGCAAGTTACTAGAACTGTCCTGCTGCATAGGTTGTGCCCTCACGGTTCTTGCGAGCACTCTCTTCTAGCCGTGCCCTTTTCACTCCACGACGACGGTGGGCCCGTGCTTCTGCTGTCAGACGCTCGGACATTCTCTTGATGCCCCTCGCGTCGCGGGAATCACTGAAAGTAACTAGATCTCTAGATGGCAGTATGTTGAGCTCTTCCAGGATGTGCTCGAAAGTAGCATGACCCTTGTTGAACCACAGGATTGCCATAGCTGCGGCAGTCTCGACAACCGTTCGGGACACAAACTTAGTCTTGGGGCAAAGTAGTCAAATTTTGCTGTTCAGGGATTCCGATGCGTTCTGGGTTTTTTTTTTTTTGATGCATCGAGCAAGGAGCTTCTGATCCGTTAGCCGCTTATAAATGGGCAAAACAGCCAATCCCTGTGCTTTTGTCAGGAGAGGTGTGTGGCGTGGTGCAGGTTCACCAAGTGCTTCAGCGCGTTGATGTTTGCACCACGACTCTGTTCCTGCAGGGCAAAACTTGTGGCTGCCAGCATTGTCAGTAGAGCATGAGTGGAAGTACGAAGCCCATACTGTAGTGTACATATCCCGTACACTCCCCCTGTTGCTTGTTGTGGCAATCTGATAGTATGTTTGGAGCTTCTGAATGGCTGGCTCTTTCATTTTCTGCCCTCGTGGTAATGGCACATGCAGCTTCCGTAGCGCGGTGCCAAGTCTCTTGGCCACATGATTAGTGCAGTCTTCTTTTTCTATATTGACAGCACCATAGACTTTTGACTCTGCAACTGCACTATATGCTTTGGTGTCACCGTCACTCAAGAATGTCATGAAATGCAGTGGGGTGTCATAAGTAAATGTTCTCTGCCAAATGCGCATTGCAGCCTCCGTTTCTATGGCATGGGAGGAACAGTTTGCATTTTTTTCACAGACTGGGCCATGGAATGCCTGCCACACTTCCTCGTCTGGGCCCATATCCTTGTGCCTACTGCATGTCAGGCAGTAATTTGATATGACCTCGAAGTCTAAGCAGAGGCCAGTATCTAAGGAGATAACTGCGCCAATCTCGTTGTGGCTTTTGTGGGCCCTCTTCTGCCAAGTGCCGTCGAACATAACAGCCACATCAGTTTCGCCTGCTAATTCTTTCGTCAACTCTCTGGATCGGCGCAAGTTTTCACTCACAGCTGCCATGACAATGGTGTGCACCTTCTTTGCTATCGAAAAAAATCCTCGGCGGTGCATTGGCTTTGGGAGTCCAATAATGGAGCAAAATCTCGACGATTGCTCATGCCCAATGCCGACAGCGCTTGCAGCCACCACCGCCTTCACATTTACAGCGAAACTATCTCGGGAGCTCCCACTGTCGTACCGTTGGCTCACTCGGCTGCTGCCGTCCGCCGTAACACGCAGTGACGTATAGGAGCACGAAAGAACAGTTGCTGAGCATTCGCTGTTTTCGCAATGAAGTTCAAAGAGCGACGAAAGTCCCTTGCGCTTTTCTGCCGGCTCCCGAACGCCAAGTTTTTGAATACCGCAAGCAGGGCATGCCACACCTGCCACAAGTGCCGTCAACAAGAGGGTGTCGCACAAAACTGTCGTTGCACAAACCTCATTGCGCTGTCTTTCGTCTTTTTTGAAGAAGCCGAGCTTCTTTTCCGAAGCACTGACGAAAGAAAGCGCAGCGTCAATCCCTTCATCGCAGTCACTGTCGCTCGCGCACTCGTCGATGCCGCCGTCAGGCCTAGCACGCGTAGGCGCATTCTCGTTCATCGCCGTCATTCGGGGCGCTTTACGCCGCCTTCCCTTGAACTTGTGCTTCGTTCGAAACTTCTGCGGTCTCACGTTGCACTTTTTCGGGCTTGTCATCGCGGAAATATGCGTAGACGCGCAGAAAATCAGACGGACCAAATGCCGATGGCCGCCACCAACACAGCTGAGAATGACTCGGTGGCCAATGGCGATGCGGCTTAGGGTGCCGCGTGTTTCAAACCGCTCAAACCCTGTGATAAAAAGGCCTCGTTTTTTATTTTTTTGCCCACGTACGAAACTTGGGGTCGTCGGAGCTGTAATAAGAAGGCCGGACGCAACTTTCCCAACCGATCGCGATGGCGGGCGGCACTGCGACAGGGAGCAGCGCGCAGTCAAAGATGGCCAATATTGGCGAAAATTCACGAAATTTTGAGCCACCGCGATGCCTTCATACGCATTTTTTTGCATTTTGCGGTTCGAATTTAGTTTTGAAATTTTCACAGATGAAAGAAGAAGGTTTGAAGATTACAATGCAATAAAAATCAGAAATACGAGAAATTTCGCTAAAAACGCGATTTTTCGACTCGCATCTCCCCTTAAGACGACAACATTATGAAGAGCAGTGCCTCACTTACTAAGCAATTACGCCAAATGTGTCACACGACGTGCACCCCGAGTGGGACACTTCTGAAATTATCCAAATGACGTGAGAGCATACGGCTCCAATTAATCACTAGTAATCGAACAAGCAGCATATAAAAAAGTCCGTTCCGTACATCAGGAGACGTAATAAAATGCTGCTTGTCCGTTTTGTTTGATTTATACAAAAAAGAAAAAAGAAACACCTGGCTTTACTATGAGGAATGGCACCAGTGGTTCAAAAGTCCAGTTTTTGGCTGGTTAGGTTGTGGCATCTAGCAGGGCCCAGTTAAACAAAGCAAGCAGAACCACAACTGCCATTTCAATAATCAGCATCGACTTAATATTTACTATTAGTATACCTTTAACACCTGTTTTGTAGTTATCTATATGTCTTCTAACTACTGCTCAAAACTGATTTACATAGTTCAAAGCCAGCACCGTAATGAATTATGTGATACTAGGAGTAGCCAACACAAGCCAAGCCAGTAAGTTAGGCAACTGCAAAAGCAATGCAACAGCTTAGCAGCTTCACAGAAAAGCTGTAACAAATTAAATGTTAATGATGATCTGAACCACAAAGTGAATGGGGAAGTTACCATACTCAATGGAAACAATCATAAAGAGTGCTCTACGTTAGCAATTTCATGTCTTTCATGCACCATTCCTCTGCGCACACTCGTTCCCGTCTATTTTAGTAATTCACTGGGAAAAAAAGACTGTGCACATTGAGCCTCTTCATTGTCCCAGACTCGCATTAGATTGTACTGCTAGTATGTTGCGTGGGCGCAGGCAAAGCAGGGTTGTAATTTGAGCTTGCTTATACATACTGTCACCAAAAAATAGCGCTGGATCAACAAGGACACAATACGATGCACAACAAAGCGGGGGTGGGACAGGGTACATGGGTTTGGGAGCGGTCCTAGGAGCGGGCACAAGTGCCTTCCATAACAGGCGTGAAGCATTCGAAAAGACAGATTGGAGGAGGCTTGGAGCAGTCGTAAAAGGCCTTTTTAGGCGAGTTACACAAGCGTTTTAAAGTGTTTTGAAACTCTTTCAAGACTTTGAAGAGCCTCACTTTGTGTAACATTACTATATGCAGCTGTATTTATTCAGCTGTATTTGCATTCGATGCTTACCCCTTGTGGTTAACTGCGACATTTTTAGCTATGTAGAGCTGTTCATTCTTAAGGGGAGATGCTACTCAAAAACGATTTTCTTTAATAAGAGTCTGAATTTAACACAAATTGGCATGCTAATAGAGTTTCTTCTCCTCTCTTCAAATATGTCATTTATTTTCATGTAGATTGCTTGGTTTTCTTTCTGCAGGTCAGATACTGCAAAATTATGGCCATTGTTATGCAACAATTCTGACCTATAAAAATTTGAGGTAAAGCATGCAGATATAGCTGACTATGATCCTTTGGAACTGTAGAGTGCAAAAAACTATATAAATTTTGTTTGTAAAAAGGTGAAATACAATAATAAAATAGAAAAATTTACTATGGCTCTAGTTGACAAGGGCTTTCGCTGTTATGTAATTTTTGAAAAACATAATCAAGCAGCACTGACAATCTGAATAGATACTTGCACTCTATGGGCCTTCATCATGATATGTGCAAAATTTCATAGAGGTATCACAATTCTAAGTATACGAACTAGCATGTATAAGAAGCACAGATCACACAAAACTGCAAAAGGAGAAAAATGCATTTGAAAGTTTGAAACTTTTTTTTTTATCACAGAGTTGTTAGAAATGCATAATCTTTGGCCATAATGTTTAACAGAACTTTGAAAAGCACTGCAAGTTACTAGAACTGTCCTGCAGCATAGGTTGTGCCCTCACG